ATGAGTGACATTACTGTGTGAATCTCTTAACGTAAAGAAAGTGAACGAACAATCTACGCTCCGTGAATCTGTTTACGAAGATTTCAACGAACGCATGGTCAAGACTTTATTTAAGTTAATATACCCTTCATCAACATTGTGCTCTACAATACGCGAGTAAATACAACTCGTCCATATTCGCCAACAAGTGTGTATATTAATCGCCGAAGTCGATCTAGAGGCCAGAGGCTATGCCTGAATTTGTTAAGAGTGCGTGACCGTTATGTGTGTGACCACGCGTGAACCTCGACATTGCTGAACAACGTGTCGTGACATTACTACCTTAGCAACGACGAAGCACAGCCCTGTTGTTAGGACATCGTGGACATTGTATATATTAGTGAACTATTGCTGTTAATAATTGCATATGTTAGTGAACTCTTGTTGTCAATAATTGGTGTATATTCTGATATTTAGTGAACTCTTGTTGACTGTTAATAATTGTTGTACATTATTGCAAACTAAAGTGTATGTTGAGGTTGCCCCATAGTATCACTCTGTACAGGAATCCATTTTCCCCATTTGCATGCAAGGTTGAATAAATGCTAGTGACCTTTGACATATATCATATTAGTCTCGTTCTTGATCAATCGTTGTGGTGTGTGACGCTTCAATGCATTAGTTTAGTTACTGTAAAATGATTAATTTTCACTGGGTTTAAATTTCGCTGATTTACCATTTCAGGCACATTCAGTGGGTTTTAAATTCACTGTTTCGTCATTTAGATAATGTGTTCTATGGTAAATTTTACATATTCACTGGGTTTTAATTTAGCGCATTTTGCAGTCAGCAAAATAAGCTAAATTAAAACCCAGTGAATAATTACCCCCTTTACAGTATCCGAATATCACATCGGTCACCCTGTGCTACGTTTCTAAATTAATTTGGGGAATAGTGTCTTTTGTCAACTTGCTGACCTGAGAACCTACCTTACATATAGAACAACTCATATTTTCGTATTCGGTCCCAATTGTAATACAATGTATTTTTTTGTGTAAATGGTGTGTCACACTTTTGGTATTTAATTTATATTCGTGATTGGGTGCACGTAATGTAGTGATACATTATACGTGATTGGACAATGCAAACCAGATGGCGTGTTGCCACTAGTGCATTGATTGTTGGAACCACCTGGGGTTATGGAATTAATTAACGTATTTAAACTTCACACATGCGTGTGGTCGGGCACTTTTGCCAGAGGTTGTTGGAGAGTACATGCTTGCTGTACGATCGTGCCGTCAGTTTAGATCAACCATGG